TATGAGAGCCTGTATCCTTTGTTGGCACAAATTTATACAGCATTGGAAGCAGTTGATTTTACTGAATTTTTCTCCAGTGTCCTGGATCGTGTAGTGAGAAAGCTAAGGGCATCATGTGATGGATGTATTATGAAATGAAAAAGCTTCAATCCAGAGACTTAAAGACAATGTGTATGTGGCTACTTTTTGTGGACATTGGACCATCCACTTCTGTTTGAGCACTTCAGCCAAAATTAGCTCCTACAAATCAGGAAATGTTTAAACATCTGTGGGGGCAGTCTGTTCTCTCTTGGTGCTTTGTCACTCAGGATTAGGGTCCACTAAGAAAAACCCAAGTAACAGTGGCTTAAACAAGGTAGAGGCTCTCTCTCATGCAAAAGAAGCCTGGGAGAGTCCATTCAGGGCTAGTTTTGCAGCTGCACTATTATCATGTGCTTAGGCTTTTTCTTTCTTCTCTATCATCCTAGCACTGGTTCTCATGCTTTAGGTCACTTTATGGTCCAGGGTGGCTGCTTGATCTCCACCCATCATGTGTGCATTCCAGCTAGAAGAGGCAATGCCAAAAAAGGTGAACCTCTCCACTGAGTTTGCTCTCTTTTAGAATTCATTCCAGAAGTCCCTGACAATGTTTACACTTGCATTTCATTGGCCTCACTTAGTTGTCAGAGCTGGGTGCAACCTCAAGTAGAATTAGGGTTCTATTACTAAGGAAGATAGGAAATACATACATACACACACACACACATCTGTCAGTCTTTGCTACATTCTCTATGAGGAACATTTGTTATTTAGAATCTTCTAGGAAGTTTTCCCATTCTCATCTGTGGTTGTAATAAGTGCTGAATTTATATGACATCATGTGCCAGGTGATGTTTAGTTCTTTACACATATTAACTCATTCAGTTCTTACAAGAGCCCTGTAAGGGAGGTACTGCTATTATCTCAACTTTACAAATGGGGCAGCTGAGGTACAACAAAGTTAAGTATTTCATCCAAAATCACACAGCTAATGAGTATCAGGGATGGGATTTGAACCCAGGAGTCTGGCAAGATTTTTCAACTTTGGCAGTATTTCCATTCGTGGCCAGATAATTCTTTGTTGTGGGGGACATCCTGTGCATTGTAATATGTTCAGCAGCATTCCTGGCCACTACCCTGTAGACATCAGTAGGATCACCACCACGACCATGCTGCGGTTATGGTAATTAAAAATGTCTCCAGACATTGCCACATATCCCCTGAGGGGCAAAATTGCCCCTATGTTGAGAACACCAGCTCTAAAGTCTGTGCTGTTTGTCACTATGCCATGCTGGCTCTGTAACCTGTTTCCCATGTAGGGGAATTAACAGCCTCACATAATAATGGAGGAAGAGTAAGTGCTAGCAAAGGACAGAAGCAGAGTGGTCACATGGAGCAGGATATTGAGAAGCTAAATGTTCCAGAAAACAAGGAACCAAACAATGCATTGATGATTAGAGAGGTGTCTCAGAGGTATGGAGGAGTAGAGCATAACAAAGGGAAGGAAGGTGAGGTCCTTGTCCACAGCTGTTGACTCTGGAGAAAGTAAGACAGATCATTAACATTTGGGATCAGCGAAGTGTCTATTCTGCATTGTCCAATAAGAACTCCCCTAGCTACATGTGCCTATTTAAATTATAGTCAATTAAAATTTAAAATGCCATTCCTCAGTCTAAGCAGCCACATGTACACTTCCCGGTCAATATGTTATCTGATTTCCTCACTGTATTGTTACTCTTTCCCCCTTGTAACTAATAAACAATCTATGTGGAGACATTTAAGATCATGCAGATATCTTGCTCCTCATCAAAATTCTGGGGTTTAGCATCCATTGATTTTTGCCTGAACCAATTACAATGATGACTGCAAATCTTCTAGAACTCCTATAGTTATATTCCTTCCTCCCAGAAGGGACTAAGCCCAAAGAATAAGTTATTGATGTAATGAACTGGGATAGAGTACAGTGTGAGTCAGAAAGAGATGTTATAGTGGGACTCATTTATATAGAAGTGGTCAGTTCATTTTGAAGTTTTTGCTTCTTTACACAACCTTGTAATAAGAACTCACAGAGGACTCCCTTTTGCGTATTTCAAAGTGCTTAACAATGCTGATTCCCATCATCTGAAAATGGAAATAATAATTCTTGCTTTGCAGATGTGTTGTAATGATTGAGCAAATTGATGTCAAAGTAACTGGCATGGGACAAGGTACACAACCCTAAAAAACCTGTGATAGTTTCCTTCATTCTCAAGAAGTTGAAGGTAGTTTCAGTGAGAGACAGAGAGAGATACACCTGGTGAAGAGGACAACATTGGCATGTCACACAAAGCTTAGGTGATCAGGGGACAGGTCTCTGCATGAGGGTGGGAGACTGCCATCCTGTGACTGGACTCAAGTGTGTCAGGAGAAGAGGAGGTGACACTGCACATTGCCTTCTAGGGAGAATCAGCTTTCTGATAGGGCACATGGTAGGAAGAGGGAGAAATATCCAGAATGAAAGGAACTCTATCCCAATGGAATCACTCCTCTGTCTATAATAGAAGATGTGGAGAAGGAAGACCAGAAAGAAGCTGAGTGGAGGGCTCTGATGGGTGCTTCAGGATGAATGGAGGCAAGGTGAAAGACAGGTACCTGCTGTGGTCGATTTAGAAAACATGCCAGAAAGACAAACCTGGCT